GGAGTGTGGGAGGACACTGAAGAACTTGAAAAAAACAAGTGGACATGGGAGAACACTCAAACCCTATACAGATAGTGGCTCTTAGAATTATTTTTCTTTTATCAAGATCAGAGCGAAAGGATGTTGAATGAACAGCCTTATTCAAGGACCTGCCGTACGATAAGGAGAAAGAGTTCTTTCTTCTATGGACAAGTAAACATCATAGGTTTAAGATGACTGAAGAAAACTTGCTGAAACAAGGACTAGTCCATAGGCTGATGAGACAGATAAAAGGGGCTGCCCAAAGATTCTCTTAAGCTCAGTGTTCATTCCTGTACATATTTGCTCATCAAACACTGACGTGCTTATGCTGCCTCCACACAAGGTTAGATTATAGTCAGCATGCAACCAACACTATTTTGGGAAAATCCTTAAGTCCTCTGGACTATAGCCTTTGGAATTTTCAAAGCCAATGATTCATCTCTGATGTTTCTCTTGGCATTTGGTTTCTCTTCTCTGTTTCTCCACCCAGGAAATGGACACTTGAATCTGGGGGAAAGCTCTGCAATGTGACTGCACTTGAGCATGTGCCAGGAATTGAGCCAGACAAAAGCCATGCACAGGTGACCAGGGCTGGTGCGGGCTGCCCTGGAGTGGCTCAGCTCTCCACAGGCACCTCTGACTCCTCCCCGGGCAAAAGCTATGTGCTTCTGCCACTGGCAATCGTGATCTCAAGAGATCATGACAAGGTCTTTTCTTTCTTTTTGTTGTTGATAATCCTCACCCAAGTATATTTTTTCCATTGCTTTTTTAGAGAGAGTGGAAGGGAGAGGGAGAGACAGAAAGAGAGAAACATCAACATGAGAGAGACAGATTGATTGGTCGCCTCCCACACGTGCCCCGACCAGGGCCAAGGATAGAGCCTGAAACTGAAGTATCAATATGTGCCCTTGAGTGGAATGGAACCCAGGACCCTTCAGTCCAAGGGCTGACACTTTTACTAAGCCAAAGTCACTCTTACTGATTGACTTTCCTTCAAAGGAAATAAACTGGGGGAGATATAGGGATCTAAATGCTCCTCTGGTTGGAACCAGAACCATTAGCTATAATCATACTGCTTTCCCAGCAAATTCAACCAAACGTACTCCAATTTCATTTTTTTTCAGAATGTATGCCCATTTCACTTATGGTGAGCTTAAATTTGGTTGATCTATAAATTATCTGGGAAGAAAAGTCTGGCCAAGCAGATTAAAGAATAAGCAGGACAACAAGATTTAACCTACTTATCAAGAGGTGTTCTTTTCAAGGATTTCAGTACATTTTTTAACTAGAGGCCCAGTTACAAAATTTGTGCATAGGTGTTGGGGGTGTTCCCTCAGCCCGGCTGCACCCTCTAGCTATCTGGGAGCCCTCAGATTACAAAGGTCTTTGGGGGGTTATTAAGGCAATATAAAACTAAGACAAGTTAATTCCTATGAGGAAATAAAATGGCATTTCTTCAAACTACTCCTCTTTCCAATTTTGCATTAATTTAAACTAAGCCCAAGTCAACCAAATTAGTGAATGAGCTAATTACATAGTTTTTAGAATGGAATTCTTTCTCCGACTCAGAGGTTACCTAGTCTGGAGACTTTCAAGATTTATTTTTAGATGGTTAAAGTAGTTGAACACTTTTTCTAGTGAACTCAGACTGGACATCCGAATCTACACCAGAGATAACTCAGAGCTACTATGGTTGGTGGGACCCATACTGGGTGGCCCCCTGACTTCCCACAGTAGCTGGACCCTGGCCAGGACTACAGGGAACATAGGTAAATAATGATCTCATCCAGGGGCTGGCAAACTTTTTGTAAAGGGATAGATGTCAAATATTTTAGACTTTGTGGGAACACATAAGTCTGCCACATATTCTTTTGTTTTAGATTCTGGTGGTTGTTTTTCATGCCTTTCAAAATGGAAAAGCCATTTTTAGCATGTAGGCCACAGGCCAAATTTGGCCCCTAAGATCATGTCTTGCCAACTTTAATGTACATTAACAGCACTGTTGAGGTTTAACTGGCACATAATAAACTGCCCATATTTAAAACATACAATTTTGTAAGTGTGCATATATGGACATGTCCTAAAGCCATCCCCACAATTAGATAGTGAGCATACTCACCTCGCTCACCCTGTCCCAGGCAACCACCCGCCTGCTTTCTGTCATTATGCATTGGTTTGAATTTTTGAGAGTTTTATATACCCAGAATCATACTCTTTTTTATGTTTTGCTCTTACACTCAGCATAATTATTTTGAGGTCCGCTGTGTTATTGTGCAATAATTCATTCCTATTTACCAATCCTTCATGCATACAAGTGAGGACACAGACTCCAGAGGTGCCCGCCCAGAAATCATGCAGGGGACAGCAGAGCTGGCCTAGAGCCCGGGTTTTCTTCCCAGGCCCCTCGCTGCTAATGTTGCCACAGGCTCTGAAAACCTCTATGGGTCTGCAAAATCTGCACAATAATGGCTCCAATCCTTTCCCTCCAATCCTCTCTTCTATGTCCCTGGGACTAGTGAGCACAGGGCAATACCCAAAGTAAAACACATTCCAAGTCATATCCTGGGATCGCCAGGTAAATCACATTTAATGAAATCAAAAGGAGACTGGCACCTGTTATGTTGGGTAAAGCAAAATCATTGATTTCTTCCATCAAAGAGCTTACAGTCTAGCAATTAAGCAGAGAGTGACAGAAAAAGGTAAATATGTGATCACAAAAGGATTAAAATTACATGAGAGGAAGAGGATGCTGTGATAGGGATGAGAAGGGGTAATTGGTTAAGAGCAGGTGTGAGAACCAGCGTGGCCCTAGAAAACTAGGGATGGGGCAGAGAAGGGCAGCCTTATCTTATCCAAGAAAAGAAGACCCCAAAACATTCATAACTAATTTATTATTTTCGTTTTCTAGGAAAATCCATAAAGCAGCCAGAAGCACCCAGGAGAAAGCTGCACTTGGTTTCAAAATGGAAGTGATACAATGTGAAGGTCAAGTTCACTGAGGCATGCAAACTATTTTCTTTGGGCGGGTGCTGAGGGGAGAAGCCACTTGCACTTTTAAAGAACCCACATCTCCCCAAACGCGTGCCACAATCCATTCATTTCACAATCAAGCTTAGAAATGGGAACACTCAATGTATCCTTATTGTTTTTTTTGTTAATCCTCACCTGAGGATATTTTTTCCAAGAGAGTGGGAGGGGAAGAGAGACAGAGGGTAGAGAGAAACATTGATGTGAGAGAGACACATTGATTGGTTGCCTCCCACATGCTCTCCCCTCCCCCAACCAGGGGCAGGGATGAACCTGCAACCAAGGTATGTATCCTTGACTAGGAATCGAACCCATGACCCTGAGGTATACAGGACAAACTCTAATCACTGAGCTACACCAGGCAGGGCTCAACATGTACTTTTTAGCACAAGTTGTGCTGAAAGTCAGCTGAGTGATGCTCTGTTAACATGGCAAATTTTGATACAAAGATGTACAAATTCATGGGAAAACTACAGATAACCTGTAGAGAGCGTATAAGTAACCATTATAGTCTAGCCTGATTTTATTTTACTTGAGAGGAGAAAATGTGGAGTAACATATGTAGGAAGAAAATCTTATTTACCAGCCCGGGCTTCAGCATCTCACGCAACATCACTAATATTTTGTGCCACATATTCCCTATTGTGGATAGTCCTGTGCTCTGCCAGATGTTTAGCAGCATTTTTGACCTTTGCCCACTAGATGGCAGAAGTACTTCCCCCACAGTCAGACCTACCACATGTCTCTTAGGGTGAAACTGCCCCGGGGAAGGGGCGGGGCAGGGGGGAGAAACTCAGAACTACAGGAAGACAGAATCCTAGCCTATATAGCAAAGAGAATTATTATCTGGAATTAAATCTGCTTCCATGGAAATGGGCCGATTTCATCATCTCTTCTGCAGTTAGCATTTTAGAACTGAAGGCCCATCACAGTGCTTTACCTTTTCTGAACATGGACCAGAAAACCCACAGCAGGGAGTCCAGACCCTGTCCATCACATGTGCTGCCTCAGTGGGCTGACTTCTAACTTCCTCAATGAGCAAGACCTGAACATATGACACCAAAGTTCCTGACCATTCAGAAAGCAATTACCTTTTATGTTTAGAAAGAAGCAGGTTTTGAACTCTTGGGAGTCTGTTTCCTCCCACACAAATACATCCTCAAAAGTAATTATGATATTCGCAGACCACCCGTAGAAAAGATACATCATGTCGATAGGTCACACTGCAATAGATTCCTTTCCTGTCTTACCTTCCCCAGATGTGCTCTGGAAACCATCCAGGAGCACCAAGGGCTTTCTGAGGCCCAATAGCCCAGCGCTTGTGGAAAACCTGGCTCAATCCGTGGCCAAGGATGTTGTTTTGTTTAAGATCTCCCTGAGCTAATCGCCCACAGTCAGTCCTGGCAGGCATTTTCCTTTCCCCGTTAATGGAAAGCTGACCAACGTGTGTGCTGACTACAGCCGAATGGATGTGAAGGCCTGCCCTCCTCAGGCAAACAGAGTGCCTGTCTTTCCATATCATCTCGCAAAAGGCAGAGACGAGACTTGGCAAAGGTCTCTGTGCAATGCTTTGCTCCGGAAAGAAACCCAGCCTCTGTGGGAACTGGCTTTCGGGAGCAAGTGCAGGATATGAAAGAGGCCGTAACGTGTCACTCCAACACACAGGGAGTGAAGGGCTGTGCTGGGCAGCACCGTGCAGAGGAGCTGGGACAGCCTTTACCAGACACTCAGACTCAGAGCAACCAAATCCCTGCACGGTCTTCTTTACTTCTAAGCAGATTAGAAGCACTGAGCACTGGGCTTGATTACTCCCTGGATCAAAGTGAAGTGAAATTAACCAACAAGAGTCTTTTCAAACAGAGAGAGAGAGAGAGAGAGAGAGAGAGAGAGAGAGAGAGAGAGAGAGAGAGAGAGAGAGAAAGAAAGAGAGAGGTGGAAACAGACTGACTCACCTTCCAGAAGTTGTCCACTTTGCCATACACGAGGGACTGGTTCTGCCTCTTGATCTCGTTGATGTGGTGGACGTCGCTGGAGTTCAGGTGCTGCTCCACCACGAAGCCCAGGAAGCTGTTGTCTGGGGTGTGAGCTGACGTGGACAGAAAAGAGCAGGGTGGTTAGGATTTAATCAGCAAGGAGCAACGACCGTTACAAATTCAATACAAGCCATCTCGCACATAACTAAACGTTTTCCTCTTACCCTGTTCTTTCTTCCCTGGGAGGGGTGAGGGATGGCTACCCTAACACATCCCCAGCAGAACTTTCACTGAGAGTAATTCTCTTCAAGGTGGATTAACCTGAGCCAAATCCTGCCTTTTTTTTTTTTTTTTTTTTAGTGGAAAACACATTTGTCTAAAAAGCATTCAGCTGTGTGCTCTCCTCTTTTCTGCTTCCTCAGAACAAGGCTACTGTCTCCTGATAGAAATGCCCTCATCCGGGCTTTACCACTAGTGACCAGAACTCTGTAGGAAGCAGGGCTGAATCAGTGGTTCTCAATAAGGTTGAGGGTGCTGTTGGGGAGCCCCCCACACTCGAGTGGGTTTGGAGACAAAACCAAACATCATCATCCCAACCCTCTAAGAATTACTAGTGAAAGAGGTAATTTAAGGGGCTGTATGAACTGATGATCGGAATGAAGAATAAAAAGGTGGAGCCCACTGAGATGTCAACCACCCCAAAGAGCCAACGACCCCAAAGACAGTGTCTAGTCTACAGGACAGACTATGGAAGAGAAGAGGCATTTTCCTCTGGACCTCTCATAATTCAAGCTCTAAAACTTCACTAGTTTAACTTGATAAGGAGAAATGCATCCCCTAACCCTCTTCAGACATTTGTCTCTTGTGCCTACAATTTTAAAATATTTTCCCCAGAAGACAACAATCAGAAAACAATTCCCTCTGGTTAAAAAGACCCTCCTCTCCTGGACATCCATTCTGTCCAGAGAAACCCCGTTTTCAAGGAGATGGCCCCACACTGTTAAATGAAGCCAGCACTCTGTCTTACTCTGACTCGCACAGAGCAGCTATAAATAACTTCAGTGAAGCCATCCTCGACATCCAGTAAAATCCACCTGGAACATATTCATTCAACATGACCTCTTCACTGGTGTGGGTGGTCAACAAACGAAGCAAGTGGATTCCTTTGTCTGGCTCGTTTTCTCAGGACACAGGAGCCCTTTTCCAGGCAGAGAACCAGCTCCGCAACCCTGAGATGGGCGAGGCAGGCACAGGGAAGGCCTAGGGATCTGAGCTCAGGGCCCTTCTCCAGAACCTGGAGTGAGAATGAAGAAGGGAGGAGGCCTGGGCCCTCTCTCTAACACCCAGAGTGAAGATGAAGGAGGGAGGAAGCCTGGGCCCTCTCTCTGACACCCAGAGTGAAGATGAAGGAAGGAGCCCTGGCGGGAAGCCTGAACTGTGGGAACAGAATGGGCTGCATAAATACTGCATTATCACCATCCAGTCTCCCAGGCTTTTGCCTAGTGGGTGTGACAGAACGAGGAGATAATGGGGTTGTGACCAGGGTGTTTCGGTGGTCTTGCCAATCTGTTATTTCATTTCTGTGTTTTTGAACAAGTGCCCAGAGGCGAGGACATTGGCTGCAGTTGGCTGGAAAGTAAATTACTGAATAAATTCTACTGCCAACAAGAGGCAATCGCTGGTGTCTTTTTTGAGGAGCTGGAGGGGAGGGAACTGAAAGCACCCGGGGTGGGAAGAGAGCCCACTTGCACTCAGAAGGCAGCTTCAAATATTTCTCTGTAAACCTTTGGTTAATTGTAAAAACTCTGAAATAGGATCTGACACCTTTGAGGTTACGTTTTTTTATCTTCAGAAAATTTATGTGGTGACCAAAGCTTCATACAGTTCAGTGATCTAGTCCCTGTGTGGGCATTTTTTTTTTTAAATGAAACAATCTAGCATTGAAAACAATAGGTTTTATTTCACGTTAAAATACACTCAGGTGTAGTAAAAAAATAAAACAATCGTCAAACCCAAAAAAGAAAAAACAACTGATACGATTTTATATTTTTGTGTCAAAGATCCCTCTAAGGCAGTGGTTGCCAACCTTTCGGACCTCACGGGCCACCAGTGGTCCTTGGACCACCAGTTGGTGACCGCTGCTCTAGGGCATAGTCTGAATAGTGAGAGGGAGGGCGAATAAATAATGTGTTCTAAAATTTGAGAGGAATGACAGGCCTTTGTTGCATTGTGACCATAATTTGTTGCTATATCAACTATGACACTGTATAAAGAATGAATTACGAAGATTACGTCTCCTTTATTTAGTTTTCATCCAAACACTTTAACTCTATTCTCTTGTCTGGAGATGTGAACTTGAGGATCAATAACCAGTAAGGTGAGACTTACAGAGAACTACCAGCAGAGCTTAGGAACGACACCGCCACATGTCATGAGAATGGTTCAACCCTCCATGTTTCTTCCAGGTACCAGGCATGGACCTGGGAGCCTGCAGCAGGGCTGCTCAGCTGAATCTGCCTCACAGGTGACTTGGAAATAACAGTAAGGCAGGCCTAGGTTACTTCCAAGGAGCTGACCGGCAGCTTGGTGATGAATCAAAAGCCCAAGTACAGGCTGATGCTACCTGAAATGACCTTTTTGTGGAGATCCATGCTTTGCCTTTTTGCTCTGCCTTAAGATGGGAACACGGACTTTAGCTGTGTTGAGCGGTTTCTAAGAGAAGGTATTTACATATTTCAAGGGAAATCAAAGAAATCCCATCACAAATGGGACACAGGAAATCTGTACTTTTGGAAATCACTCTGTCCCAGGAGATAAACATGTGCTTCTTTAAAATATGTGTTTTTATTGATTTTAGAGAGGAAAGAGGAGGGATATATATATATATAGAGAGAGAGAGAAACATCAATGATGAGAGAGAATCATTGACTGGGTGCCTCCTGAGCACTCCCTCCTGGAGGTCAAGCCTGTAACCCGGGCATGTGCCCTGACCTGGAATCGAACCAATGACCTCTTGGTTATGTTTGTACAGATGGAAAGACAAAGAGAGTTGCTTAAACTACCCATGTCTACACACCACAATGCTGAGATTCAAAACCAGACCAGCTGGTTTCAGAGCCCAAGCTCCTAAAAGCACTTTTAATATATAGACTCGTAGTCCAAATAATATATTTTCTGGGCTCTGTGAATTATAGTGGTAAACATTCTATGGAGGAAAATAATATTATAAGGTAGACAGAAATATACATAAAATATACAGGAAAAATATATCAGTTTCTTCAGCAATTTATGCCATCTTTAGGTAGGACCAGGTTTTTTTACATCTATAAATTAGAGGGGATTTGCTAAATATTAACAATGGTCTTAAAATAATTTAGGACAAACATTTTTTTAAAAAATTAAGAAAACATTATTTTAAGTACTTTGGAAGAGCCTATTTACAAATGATTATAAATCAATTTGATGAGTTTCCTGAGCAAATTATGGTGATGGCTTCTATTAAAACGAATGTTAATTTAGCTTCAATAATTCATTCAATGGCAAACATTTTAAAGCACCACTTCTACAACCAGGTTACATGCTAGGTATTCAGAGATTCCAACCAAAAGATGATTTTCTGCCCTCACAGAACTTACTACTACTGAATAAGATATACACTATATGTACACCATGCAGTAATGTCTTCTTCTTAAAATGTAATTCAAAAATTTTATTGAGTCAAATGGATCTTTATTTCAGTGGCATAAATCTCCAAGGTCTGTTTTTCCACCAAGACCTCAAAATCTCTAAGAAGTGTAAATATTCGCTTTAACAGATGTCAGCTGGTCTTTATTTGCAGCTGGGCCTACAGTGTTGGTACCCCCTGCCTCCAGGTCACCAAGAGCAGAGACCCCAGAGCCAGCCTAGGCCCCTCCCTCAGCCAATCAACCAGCAAGTCCTGAGGGTTAGCTTCTCACAACTCTCTCAACTCTCCCCTCCTTTCTCCACCATTCTTAGTTCTGGCCTCATCAATTCTTACCAAGGCTTCTGCAATAGATAAGTTTTCTTTTCCCCAAAATAGAAAGGTGTTTTTTTCTTGTTTATAATAGAGATATACCCTCAGTGTATAACTTTTTTTCAGAGAACAGAGAAAGATAATAAGGAAAATAAAGATGTCATCCATCATCTTACCACCTAGACATAACCACTGTTAACGGGCTTTTTCCCTAGACTGTGGTTGGCAAACTCATTAGTCAACAGAGCCAAATATCAACAGTACAACGATTGAAATTTCTTTTGAGAGCCAAATTTTTTAAACTTAAACTTTTTCTAACACCACTTCTTCAAAACAGACTTGCTCAGGCCATGGTATTTTGTACAAGAGCCACACTCAAGGGGCCAAAGAGCTGCATGTGGCTCAGGAGCTGCAGTTTGCCAAACAGGGCCCTAGACTCAGGGATCTTTTTTTATCCTCAAATCAAATTTGGATCCTCTTATATCTCCTCTTTTGGGAACTTTTTCACTTTCACAATGTGCCACAGGTGCCTTTCTGGGTTAATAACCACAGCTCATCGCTGCCTGCTAACGCAATACATCAGTGGATGACTTATCTCATCAGCCACAATGCCACATTTTGGGCTGACAGCATGACTCTGTAGAACTAACTGACCTTCCTCCCAGGCCATTCGGATCTTTTTCATTCAGACAGAATCCTGAGCCCTCCGTTGTCCCCACTCTCGCTGCCTCTGAGAATAGGGCACATAATCCAGAGGGCTCCACCTGACCTGAGCTTAGTTGAATGATGGGTTTATGATGCAAGCCCCGCCGATCAGAGTTGCTCTAGGACCAGTCAGAGCTACGTTTGAAGTCACTGTCCTTTTGCTCCATTTATAGAGATGGCAGGGTAGAAGTCGAGAGCTATAGATGTCATCTGTGTGCCCATGTGAGGACAGTTCCTGAGAAAGATGCCAATCCAGAGAAATGCAAAGCCAAGAAATGGAGAGAATAAAGACATCTTTCAAGCCCAAAATTAAGCTATCTAAAGCTGCTTTCAACAATTCCCAGTGGGAAGAGCCAACAAATCCTTATGTCAAGTCTAAATGACATAAATCTTGCGTGATACACCCTAGCACCG